CTATGATCGAATCGGATGTAAAATATGATTAAATGAAAAAAATTTGATCAAATGTGGATTCGATACGATCGCCAGTGAGAACTGTCACATTTTGAGAGTTTCAGTAAAATATTTCGGTGATTTCAAGCAGCATTGGCAACTGAATCTTGAAAGATTATTGCGATAAATAAATGAATCGATTTGAAATAGTTATCATCAGTAAGTTGAATGCAAAATGAGCTGCTTTGCAAATGTGAATTGAAGAATTTAAATAGTAATGTCTTTGGATGGAAGGAAGGCAACCTTTCGAGCCATAATAATGAGCAGCAAATGGTAAACACATTCGATCACCGAGCAGAATGAGTTATAAAGTTGCAATAAAAGTTGTTGTAAAGTATCCATCAGTTTAACAATCCCCCGACAAATCTGCTGCATCATCTGATTATTATCCATCTCGATGAACGCTTTTGTCTGTTGCGTTTGCAAGAGTGCTATTGAAGTATAATATAAATCATAACAACAAAAACAATCGTGCATTTGTCATTTATTCATATTGTATTTTATCATATCTGATTCATTTATTTCAATTCAAACTCTCAAATCAGANTCGGCAACATATATAATATTCTGAATGTATATGCACTCTGATTGTTTCAACTCTGATTTCAGAAAGCAGACGACTGAATAAAAGGTTTGAAAGTTGTGTTTGCGTGGTACTAAGATGTGAGTGCTGACCACTGGTCAGTGATGGATAACGCTGATCGTTAATAATGGATGATATTAAAAAGATGAGAACAACTGCACGATCCAGTAAGGAAGTGATCTCTTGTTGTTCAGTTAGCTAGCACAGTTGCGCATCTCGTAACATGATCCGATTGCTCTTAATAGAAATCATTGAAAGTAGAAGTTTTTAGCTGACCTGCAAATTGCTCTTACACTGAATGAGCGCTCACTAACAAGAGTTCTCAGTTCGTGGCTAATTTCACTCCAAAACTCCCACATATGTGAGGGTTTCTATTTTAAGCTAAAACATACGGTCATCGTTAAAGCATGGGACGAAAGTATTATACTTCATTTGATTCTGACACAGCCTAACTTGATATACCACAAAAGCATGAATTTTGTCGATTTTTCAGATATCTTAATTTTTCAGATATCTTAAATGGGTGGTTTTAGGGTGTTATTAGTTTTCATGCTTCCGACCAACTGCATCCTCAAATTCGATTCGGTAGCCATTCACTTCCATGATATTCACTGTCAGATAGGACGAAACTTCCACTCTTAGAAAACAATTCGACCAAGTGGATGAAACAGTCCAACTGAGGAGCAATTAACTATATAGTTCGGCATCTTCTTCAGCTGAATGTCCTCAGGTTGAGAATTAATCTATAAGAAATTTATCCCTCTTCTTGACTTGAGATGTTTCGTTTCTGAGATATTGAAGAAAATCTGTGCGTAAGATTTTTATGAAGTTACACCGAAAATGACTAGAAGTTACATCTTTCGAATGAGATTATTTCGATGAACGGCATCAACCGACAGAACAAATTTCTACTATCAATGGCGACATTGACCTTATGAAAACCAAAATTTCTGCGGAACTCTCCTCGAAACATTGTCCAACTTGAAAAAAAAAACATCTCAGTTATTCACATGAGAGCAAAGATTTTTTAATCATGATTTACTTGGGATCGCACGAAAAAAATCACTGAAATATACGCAACAGTAAATGAAACAGAAATAAATTAGTAACAAGAATGACAGGTATAACAATAACAATGATAAAGAAAAACAATCATGAGAAAACCACAATAACAAAAGTGGTTATAATTCAAGACGTAATAAAAGTAAATGACTATTGCACGATACGTTATTTTGAATTGGACAAAATCTATTGGCATAGAGAAGAAGTGAGAGGATCGATTGAGAATGCGATGAAATTCACACGGAGAATCATCAAAATCAGTTGCATTCAATATCACAGCAGTTTTGAACAAATAATCGAATAGTAATTATCACTGCTCATCGCAAACAACTTCCATTAATAGCACGAGGCACACGAGGCAATAAATGAATGCACACGATTATCATTACTATTAGCATTATTATCATTATTATTAACAATGAACGAAATGAAAAACGGTTCAAAAAAAATTTTTTTCTGGCTTTTGGTTTCCTAAACTGATCATCTGAAAGAAAACATTCCCATCAATCGGCCACAAACAATTGACTAATAGTAAATATTTTGCAGAATGCGACTTCGACATCAACTTTCCGCAAAACTTCACAATCTCAAGTATTCAAATTATAATCTCAAACCGAATCTTCCAAAAGCATTTGAATTAAATGATGAAAAAATTTTGTCCAGTTAAATATATCCGATGAAGACAAAACATGTGCAAATCAAAACGATTCAAATGATCCACGAACTACAATTCAGTTTTACCCTTAAACGATACGACAGCATGCTTCTTCATGAATTTGATCAATTCGTCGGGTGTTCGTAAGCCGTCGAATTTGATCGGAGTTGCATTTTTACCAGCCGGAATGAAGTATATTGTTGGGAATCCTTCCACTTTAATATTCTCTGGATGATCATTGCCGATTGCATCGAATTTTGCGATGATCAAATTTGGTTCTTTCGGTTTCAATTCAGTGGCCATTTCCTTGTAAAGAGGTTCGAATGACTGAAAGAGAGTAAATCAAAAGATTACATAGGCATACAACTTGCGATTCTATCGAAATTGGGTATTTCAGTTGAAAAACCACTGCAATTCATAANTGACCTTGCAATGACCGCACCACGGTGCATAGAACTCTACGAGAACATCTTTCTCTTCATCCAACGCAACTTTAGCAAAGTTCAACGCAACAAGCGTTTTAACGGGTCCTTTGTCATCCTTAGGTAGTGGTGCTGATTTGATGAATGCTTTCACTTTACCTGTAAATAAAACATCGTGTTTAAAATTGAATTCATTTTGAAACTATGTCTGATGCAAACGTTTCGCATTTTCCTTCTATGGAAACACAAAAATGCAAAGATCAAACGAAAAGCACTCTGTAACAAAATGAATAAAATTCAGCTAACCAGAGGAGAGTTTCCTCATGAAATTGTTCAGATTCTCTTCCAGATCGTCATCATCGAATTGATCCGGATTCATCGGATATTTCTTGCCGTTGACACCGAACGCAACGACATTCTGCTCAAGACCGCTATCACCCAATCCCACCTTAATCAAACCAATCAAGTAAATTCACCATGAGCTCTAAAGCATGCATAACTCCAATAACAATGTTTATTTGGCTATCTTCGAAATTTAGTGCTTCGTACATTTCATGTAATTTCAAACATTTTCTCGGAGTTCATACAGACTTTCAATTCAACTATTTCGACTGAATCTGCAATAGCACGCAAACACTCAATAAATGAAGACACAACCAACATCCGTCAGCTCTTTAGCGTATTCCTCTTCGTCGGCGATTGCGAAACGATACTTCTCCTTCTTATATTCATTCGCCACTTTGAGTATCTGAAGAAATGAGCGCAATTTCATGAGATCAACAATGAATGAGACTTTAAATTGCAGCTGATATAAGGAGATTATACGTGAAAAAGAACGAAAGATCACGTACTTTGTTTCTCCAATACTGCGTTCCTTTGACGTGTTCTAACGAGAAATCGACAGAGTAATAAACAACGACGAGTGGGAATTTCGAGTATCGATTCGCCATATTGTTATGTGTCATCTGCCCAACCAACGGTGCACTGTTTTCACGCAAAAACGTCAACAGATCCTCGGCACTTGCGTCACTCTAAACAACGTTAAAAGGAACGTCTCAAAATACTCCTCAAATGATTTTAATTGTGTATTGCTAATAATTGAAAATAACAGCTGAAATAAACAAAAAAGTTCCAACAGCAACTCATGCATTTGAGAATCATATCTCTTCATGAAGGCATGAAATCAATTATGTGGATAAGTCTCAACATAAACTACGGCACACCTTTTCGAATGTGAGTTGTTTTGGTTCGTACTTACTCCAGAAAATTTCTGGCTGGAATAAGATGACCGTATCCGGTTTTGCATTGAAATGTTTCATCACGTTCTCATCAAACGTATATCCAACTGCGCTGAATTCTTCGCGAGTCCTTTCAGCTGAATTGAAACAAATTCAATTGACGATCACTATTCACAAAATGAAGAATTCAATACTGCACAATTGAGAGTGAATGATGGTTGGAGATCGAAGCAAGCACAAACCCATATCAGAGAACGCATCGAACAGTTTCGAGCGTTCGCCTGATAAAAATGCCACAATGGTAACGTCAGTTCGCAAGAATATTCGTTGTGCTTCTTTAATCGTGTCCAATTTTTTGGCTGCTGGTTTCGACTGCTCAATCATATACTGCACAATACCTAGAAAAACAGAAATATATTAAGTATAAGACATAAATGAGAGCGATTTATCACCATTCAAAATTAGCATATCGCATAAAGGAAGAAATCGCATGTTGATGAAACTCATACTGAAAATTTCGTCCCTGTTTTCAGCAACTACTTTAAACGGTGATTTCATATGGGTCATTTCGTGAGGTGAATTAAAATTTCAAGTAGTTCAACTATCGTGAACGAGAAAAACAAATGTGATAATTTCAACGGGAACGAGAATTTTGAATGCAACAAAGGTTCATTCTAGAATATCCCAGCAATACCGCTAATCTATACTCTTGTATATGTATGTAACATAATACTTGATAAGGCTGCATAAACAGAAAATGAATATCGTGAAACGAAATTGAATTTTCTTCTGAGAATTTTCTCATCAGAAAGATGATGTTGTTATAAGATGAAACCGCTGATCCAGAGATTATAAATCAATCAAGAAGAGTCGAATGAAAATAAAGCAGCGAGCGAACCGTCAGCTGTACGAGGACCGTTGTATTCGAATCGTCTCCCTTCTCGGAATATATACAAGGTTGGATAGCCAGTAACTGAATAAGTTTTTGCCAATTTCTCTTCGGCTGTCGCGTCCACTTTAGCCAGCAATATATCTTCACCTTTCGCCTGAACAACGCAAAAAACTCAAACGAACATGCATTGTACAAGATGATTCCAAAAAGAAAGCATCACCAATAATTTGACTCTTTCTTTAAAGGAGGCAACCCTAACGAGTATACTTATAATGAACTTCAATTGTTCACGGAAAAGTTTGAAAATTCCTGAAACAATGCGCGGAGCATTTCCAATAACTAGGATTGCTCAAGCGCTTTCTGCTGAGAAGAACCAACTTTGAGTGTTTTCGCAGCTCTCTCGTACTCAGGTGCAAGTTTTTTACAATGACCGCACCACGGTGCATAGAACTCGACAAGTGCCAAACGACGTGCACCGATCACTTCATCGAATGTGTCTGTTGTGAGTGCGGTCACATCTGAGGGTGGCGGCTTATAATTGGGATCACTCTTTTCGGATACCCATTGCACAATACCTAAAATGCTTTCACAAATTTATTCATTCGAGCGATATTCACCGTCACCGATTCAGCTCGCTCAGCATGTCACTATTCCTTGGCTCAAATATTATCAACGTCGAGCCCAAAACAGATATATAAGGCAGTGATTTTTAACATTTGTGAAATGATTATTCTGCACAGTTGCGAGATCCTAAATGATCCGCAACAATTCAAAAGCCTTTTTCCATAGATTCTTTCGAAAAACTTGAACTCCAACAAAATTCCGGCTTTCAATTAGATTTCCATCCAGATCTTAGCTTAGTGATTTCAATTCAAGCTTCCAAAATTACATGTTCAACTCATCGATTGCCCTTGCAATCAGATAAAGTGATCAAACAAATGCATTTGCTCATACCGTCTGCATCCCGAGGACCATCATAGTCCACCGGTGTGTCAGATTTGTGCCAGAATTTCAGTGTTGGATATCCGCTCACTTCAAAGCTGAAATCAGAATACCGTACCTTTCTTCATTGGCTGCACCAAAATTGAACATGATGAATTTTTTCCCGAAAATACTGACAATGAGTGTGGTATTTTCGGGAAATTACGAGCTTGGAAAATTAAGAATTGCTGAAAGTCAACTAAACCTGATGAATATTTTGACATAAAGATATTGATCCAAAGGGGATATTATACGGCATTTGAGACGGAAACTTACCGAGTAGCAAGTTTGGATTCAACAGTGGCGTCCACTTTTGCGAGAGGAACCGACAACTTCTCTGCGGCTTTCACATATTCAGGTGCCAGCGCTTTGCAATGACCACACCTAGCGAATTGCTTTCCTTCATTCATATTTTTTGGTACTTTCGTTTTTTTTAGCGTGGAGCTCGATAGATACATTCGCTTTCGAGTTATGTCAGTCAGAGTTTTGAATTATTTAGAATGTTAATTTTCGACGGCAGTTTACCTCACGAGAACTTAACTCAGCAGGCAATCAGTTTTCATATTTCATATTTGGTGCTAAATTGATGACGATATATGAGGAAGGAAAAGTTACAGTATGATACGAAACTGAAATCAATGCAGTGATATGCGAAACTGTGCAGTGATCGGATGCATTCGATTGCATCAAAACAACGTATTGATAATATTACCAGGGCGCATAGAACTCCACTAAAACGGTCGGATTCTGTTTCAAGAACGCATCGAAATTCTTTTCGGTCAGAATAACGACACCATCGTCCTTCTCGTATTCCAGTTCGGGCTCTTCTTCTTTCTTTGCATCTTCATCGTCTGCGCGAACATCAGCAAAGATGACAGCCTCAACGATGAGCAGCACCAGAAAGCAGCTTAACCGCATCACTGCCGCAAACCTTTCAATGAACATCCATTAATGAATTTGATATACTGAAGCGTACTTGCAAGCTTTCAGATAATCTCTGAAGCATTATTGAAATGCTCAGGAATATTATTCTACTTAAAGTGTCGATAACAAAGTAAGAAAGAGACAATTTGAGTGATCCAATGGGGTCGGTAATAATCGGAGGAATCTGTTTCGAAATTGGAAAGATCGATCTATTCAGATTATCGACTCGTGACGAGCGATAGTGAAATTTACGAAAGCAAAAGTGAAAAGAAGAGGAGAATGAAAAACGCAACACACGTGTCATAAATGCAGTGAAAAATGAAAATAACGTTCACTGTGAACTGGTACGTAAAAAGGACAAATGGCAATCCGCCTCGTGCAATCGATGAGAAAAAAATTGAATATTTGATTAATAAATGCAAATTTTCATCACTTTTAAATGCATTTTACGATCGCATTCAAATTTTAATGCTGTCGTGGCTTAAAAATGACCTACCGAAAACAGACAACGTTACGAGATTATGAAGTAAACCCTACAGCACATTCCCCTACCAACAATCAGTTCAGCGGAAAACAATCACATCCAAAACGTGACTGAATGTATTGAGTTCAGTGATATCAATAGAGCTATGAGATCGAGAATACATTACGAACAAGTTGTCATCACTCAAAAAGACAGCGAAGTCGGCGAATGTTAAGCGAAGAAGTAGAGAGAAAAGAATCGAATGGAAGAGAAAATCACCTAACAATAAGAACTTTCCACGTAACAAAATATCGCCGTCATGATAATTTAAATCTGTCATACTAAAAAATAGTTTTCAAAAAGTTCCACAAAACGTTTCTCATTCAAAATTTTTCAAATTAATAAACAAGTAAATAAGCCGTAACGAATGATTCCAAAAAAGATTTTCATGTGCTGTTAATGGCCAACGAATGAATAATAAGATCAACTGTGAATGCAATTTTACTGAGTTAATAAATAACACGATTATGCTGACGTATCGATGCAGGCAGGCACTACCATTCGAGACTGTCCAAAATCTCATTCCATCGCAAACACTCAACGCAAAATGCAACACCAGACTTCATCTAACTTAATCAAACAACCGTATTGTTTGTTTACTTCTCGATCCCGTCTAGCTGCATTTCACAACGACCTTTTCTGTCTTCCTGCCTCAACTAATTACCTTTACATTTTCACTGCCTTCACAATGACCCAAAACTCAAACAATGTCTCGTTTATGATGAAGACGGTCAACGTTTCACATAGC